AAAAAAAAAAAAAAAAAAGGAAAATGGGAAATGAAGTGAGGCACAAGGGCCAGGGTTTGTTTTTAACAATCCTTATAGAACTATTTGATTCTTTATGTGCATGCATAATATTCTGAAAAAATTAAATTAAAAATAAAAATTCATTTCTATTTTCACCTTCTAAAAAAAGTCAGTGTTCTTATATTTTTTTATAGTTACATTTATCTTAGATTAAATCTTTCAAAAGGATAGAATGTTGCCACAATTATCATTAAAGATTACTTCCCCAGTCTTAAGAAAACATAAAACACATGTTTATATTTCTCAAGTGTAGAAATATCCTATAAAATAACTATCAAGTTCAGTAAAATGTCAATATATAAAAGTTTACTCCTACATGAATAGTTAGGCTATGAATTAAATCATATATGCTCTGTACATAGGGATTTCTCTCACACTAAATCTAAAATACAGATGCAATCTTTGGAGCTTAGAAAAAACTTTTTCCCTAAGTTGTTAAAATTATCATCCAAAGAAGACTTCCAGATGGCCAACCGACACATGAAAAAATGCTCAACATCACTCATCATGAGGGAAATACAAATCAAAACCACAATGAGATACCACCACCTCACACCTGTCAGAATGGCTAACATTAACAACTCAGGCAACAACGGATATTGGCGAGGATGCAGAAAAAGAGGATCTCTTTTGCACTGCTGGTGGGAATGCAAATTTGTGCAGCCACTCTGGAAAACAGTATGGAGGTTCCTCAAAAAATTAAAAATAGAACTACCCTATGACCCAGCAATTGCACTAGTAGGTATTTATCCAAGGGATACAGGTGTGCTGTTTTGAAGGGGCACGTGCACCCCAATGTTTACAGCAGTTCTATCAACAATAGCCAAAGTAGGGAAAGAGCCCAGATGTCCATCGATGGATGAATGGATAAAGAAGATGTGGTGTGTGTATATATATATATATATATATATACACACACACACAAGTATACCTGCTGAGTATTACTCGGCAATCAAAAAGAATGAAATCTTGTCATTTGCAGTTATGTGGATGGAACCAGAGGGTATTATGCTAAGCAAAATTAGTCAGAGAAAGATAAATAGCATACAACTTCACTAATTTGAGGACTTGAAGATACAAAACAGAGGAACATAAGGGAAGAGAAGCAAAAATAATATAGAAACAGAGAAGTAGACAAAACATAAGAGACTCTTAAATATGGAGAACAGAGGGTTATTGGAGGGGTTGTGGGGGGGGGATGGGCTAAATGAGTAAGGGGCATTAAGGAATCTATTCCTGAAATCATTGTTGCACTATATGCTAACTAACTTGGATGTAAATTAAAAAATAAAACTTTAAAAAAAATTTAAAAATTATCATTAATCCTTATCTTTGATTTGCTAAATAGAAAGAGCTAAGAAAAAATTATATTTAAATAATATTTAAGCAATTTTCTCCTTAATATTCACATTGTCAATGCTGACTATTTAAAACTGGAATGTACAGATGGGCTTTTATTTTTTTGTGTGTGTGGTTATTTCAACGTAGTTTCATTTAACTGTGGTTATCTGTATAGTTAATGAGATATTTATTTTTAGAAAAAAAAAAGCTGTTAGCAGGTACTTTACAATGATTATCAGTTACCTTAAAAATCTTTTCTCTTACCATTTTGGATGAGTTGAACATGGCCTCCCAAAAGCCAGAAGAGAGAATCAGTCACAATTTGGAAAAAGCGTAGTAATTCATCTTTTTCTTCACCCTTAATACACATAACACACACACAAACCCAATTTACTTTTCTGTAATTGCTTTATTAAAAAAAAAAAAAAAAGAAGAGAAACTTCTCTCAGGGGGAATCAAGAGACCCTGGTTGCTGGATCTTACTTAGTTATTTATGATCTTGTAGCCTTTAGTTTCTTAATTTATAAAACTTGTGTTACAGGCTGGTGATACCTACCTACTCTACTTACTAGAGAAATGGTTGTTACCCAGAGGTCAAATGAGACAATATATAAACTGTATAAGAACTACAAGTTGATATATTAGGATTTCTCAACACTGGCTATGCATCAGAATCACTGTGGAGCTTTTTTTTTAAATTAAATATAGTATATCCATGTACAGGCTTTAACCCAAACAATTTGAATCTCCAAAGTCAAAGTCTGAACATCTGTATTTTTACAAAGTTAGGTGGCTGATTTGATTATGCAGTTAGGTTTGAAAATCACTGTTATATGTAAATGTAGATGTCAGCATGTAAAGCATTATTATTAGCACATTTCAGTTGCAGCTTCTAATCTATAACTCCATGAGAGCAGAGACTAAGTTACTTGGCTCTCCATTAGACACTCAGTGTCTAAAACAGTTCCAAACATAGTAAGTGTTCAATCAGTATTTATTCTACAAATAAATGACAATTTTTTCTGATTCTTCCTTTCTGGAAAATAGGGTGATTAGTAGATTAGAATACATGTCATAATAGCAAATAAGAAACAGATTTTGTTCACAATTCTGTCATTTACTGGCCATGTAACTTCAGTGGAAAGTTGTATAAAGGCCACTAATTTTACCCAGGTCTTAAACATTTGTACTCTAGCACAAAAGTAATGATCACAATAGCAAAGGCATTATGATTGCAATGATTATTATAATAATAAAAGCATTTTCTTCCTATTATTTTAGCACAGGGCTAGGTAGGTGCTTAAATAGACATGTGCTAACTTAAATATAACAACAATAAAAAAAACCAAAATCTAAAAAAGAAAGAAATGTCGCATTAGGTCAACAAATACTTAGTCCAGTAAAGTGCCTTTGCTGGTTTCACCAAAAGACACAGCAGAAAGAGCGTGGTAATCTTCATTGTTGTCAATCTCAAAGAATAGTGCAGAGCCCTTAGACTTCCTTTTTTCCTTAAAAAACCATTAGATAATGCCACCCATAAATTCATGTCTTCTGAGACTGGTTAACAAAATTTACCCTAAGTCACTTCAAAATTTTGGGGTAGGTATTTTTCTTATGGCAATATGTAAATGTATGTGTACGTGTGTATATTTTAACCAGTTTGCAGTTTAGGCCAGATCATTCTGTGTATGTCCCACCATGTGATCTAATACCTATAATATGTTAGCTAATTAAAAAAAATTTTTTTTTAATGTGTTTGGTTCTTTAGACAATGAGTTTGGCTTTTTTTTTTAATGTTTATTTATTTTTTAGAAAGAGCACACATGTGAGCACATGAGCAGGGGAGGGGCAGAGAGAGGGAGACAGAGGATCCAAGCAGGCTTCACACTGTTAGTGCAGAGCCCAAGGCACATCTCAAACTCACCAGTGTGAACCGTGACATGAGCCAAAGTTGGATGCTTAACTGACTGAGCCACCCAGGTGCCCCCAATATTTTTTTGATTGGGAAACACTTAGGTAGATAAAACTCATAAATTCAGTTTTCTTGTAATCTTTTTTTTTTTTATTATTTGAGAAAGAGAGAGAGAGAATCTTAAGCAGGCTCCACACTCAGCACAGAGTCCGACATGCGGCTTGATCCCACCATCCTGGGAACATGACCTGAGCCAAAATTAAGAGTTGGATGCTTAACCAACTGAGCCACCCAGACACCCCTGTAATCTCCTTTTTATCTATTTTCATTTTGTTCTGTGGTAAAATGGCCCTCTTTTGCTGTAGTTTACCCCCTTTAATGTATTACTGAAGAAGTTTTCATTTCTATACAAATACCATAATAAAGAATAGGAAAGTATTATGAAAAGTTTTAAAGGACTATATAAATGAAAAGACCGTAATTACTATTGCCCCTAATATTAAATAAAAATACTCTCAAGAAAACATAAAGCTGTCTTAGTGGTCTGAGCTATTCATGAGATAGAAATTATTTTACAGGGACGCCTGGGTGGCTCAGTCAGTTAAGGGTCTGACTTTAGCTCAGGTCATGATCTCACAGTTTGTGAGTTCGAGCCTCCCCATCGTTGGGCTCTGTGCTGACAGCTCAGAGCCTGGAGCCTGTTTCAGGTTCTGTGTCTCCCTCTCTTTCTGCTCCTCCCCCACTCACACTCTGTCTCTCCTTCAAAAATAAACAAACCTTAAAAAATTTAAAAGAAGGGGCGCCTGGGTGGCTCAGTCGGTTAAGCGGCCGACTTTGGCTCAGGTCATGACCTCGCGGTCCGTGAGTTCAAGCCCCGTGTCAGGCTCTGTGCTGACAGCTCAGAGCCTGGAGCCTGTTTCAGATTCTGTGTCTCCCTCTCTCTGACCCTCCCCTGTTCATGCTCTGTCTCTCCCGATCTCAAAAATAAATAAAACGTTAAAAAAAAATTTTTTTTTTAATTTAAAAGAAAAAAGAAATCATTTTACAAAGGAGAAAACAGGTACAGTGAAATCAAGTCATCTGCCCAAGAACTCATAGTTAATTTGTGGCACAGCCAGGAAAAGAAATCAAGTCTAACACAAATTCCCATAGTTTGTGCTGCTTTAACTGACTTGAATTAAGTCTAGAAATATATAAAATTTATTTATTGCTACCAACCTCAAAATGCCAATGGAGATGCTGGAAGAATTTGTGACCTATTACATAGAAAGCCTATATACTCTACTACTAAGTTAAATTCTCTGTCAACAATAGTTTAAAACAAAATTTTTTTAACGTTTACTTATTTTTAAGAGACACACACACACACAGTATAGGCAGGAGAGGGGCAGAGAGAGAGGGAGACACAGAATCCAAAGCCGGATCCAGGTTCTGAGCTGACAGCACACAGCCCAACATGGGGCTTGAACTCACAAACTGCGAGATCATGACCTGAGACGAAGTTGGATGCTTAACCAACTGAACCACCAAGGTGCCCCTGTCAACAATACTTCTTATACTCAAACTACTATCTCATCCATATTGTATATCTCATTCAATTTCATTCATAATTTTTTAATTTGTTGTTTTTTAAATTAAAAATAGAGCTGTCTTATGTTTCCTAAAGAAATATCTAAATATCTTGCCGACTTTATTAGCCTAGGTGTTAAGTATAAGACTATGTCTATTCTTTATACTTAAAGCACCTCAAATGAAATTTAATATCCCATGATGACCTAGTTATTTTTCTTCATAACTTCCAAAAGTTGTTAATCTGTTCAAAATTTAATATAGCAGTAGGCCAAATGTACATATAGCTAAGAAATATTACAAGATAAAGAAGTTTCAGCTGTGTACACTTACGACTTCTTTAAGTATTTTAACTAAATTGATCTGATATTCACAGAACATTCCACACAACAAACAGAGTTCACATTCAAGTATATAGGCAGTCCTTACTTTTTGCATGGTACCATGTTAAATGAAACTTGTGCCATATCAAAATCTTTACATGTTTCTGATATGCATGAGTTTCAACCAAGATAGCACTGTGCAAAGCAAGGACTGCTTGTAATGAAACATTCACCAAGATAAAAGGGCCATAAAACAAGTTCGAAAAAATTTCAAAGGATTGAAAGGATACAGAGTATGTTATCTGACCACAATAGAATTAAAGTAGAAATGAGTAACAATAAAATATCAAGAAAATTCACTCATATGTGGAATTTAAAAATAAAACAATCATGGAGGGAAAGAGAGGGGCAAACCAAGAAAGACTCAACTATAGAGAATAAACTGATGGTTACCAGAGGGGAGGTGGGTGGGAGGATGGGTTAAATAGGTGATGGGGATTAAGGAGTGCACTTGTGATGAGCACCAGGTGTTATATGGAAAGTTGACTCACTAAACTGTACACTTGAAACTAATATTACACTGCATGTTAACTAACTGGAATTTGAATAAAAACTTTAAAAACAGAAAATTCTCAAATATTTGGATATTAAGCAACATATTTCTAAGTAATCTGTGGGTTAAAAAAAAAAAATAGTACATACAGCATTTAGCACAATCCACCTAAGAAATACTTGCTGGACTTAGTAAGCCCTATGTTTGAGTTGAAATATTTTGACTACAGAAGATCTGAAAGATCAAACAGAAAGTTCACCTTTATTGTTCTGTGCCACAGAAGCTATTAGAAAAGTGCTGGGCCACAGAACAATACTTTCCTCTACTGTTAAGTAGGTGTATTTTAGAAAGATGCTATGGAAATAAATGTCTATGGGTGCTGCTCAAAGTTGAGAAGCAAAGCAGATTCTTCAAAAAGTCATATGGTATACTTCAGCCAGCACTTTAAAATTTCACACATAGAGGCTTTTTTGGTTATAATTTCAAAAATGTTTGGATCCACTATTCTAATTGTACTTTCATCCAAATACTGCACATGTGAAAAATAATGTGGAACATCTTCTCAAGAATTTTGGCTATTAAAATCCTGAATAAACACATATACCTTAGCTGCATTGATGAAACATGTTTGCAATCGCCTCCCCAAAACCAGAAAATTTTCTGCAGCTGATGGAAGCAATTCATTGTAAAATTCCTCTGCATCTTCTCCTGGCTCCAAGCCCACACAGCAATGACTAAAATAAGAGCACAAGTCTGTGACTGTTTGTGTTAATTATAAATTTCAGTTGAATGCTAGAGCTTCTATAGACGTGCCTTAATGAGAATTTTTAGTTATCTCTTTTGTTGTCAAGCCAATAAAGAACTTTTGCTGGAAAATTAGCATTACAACTTTCTGGAGAAGTAAGTCCAGTGGTGTGAACTTTGTCTGTACTGAGAGCTAGGACTCATATGTCCTAAAAACCTACTTGTCAGCTTTTCGGGAAACAAAATACACCTGATTCACAATAAAGAGAAACAAGGCAAGTTTTCAGTGAATGAGCTATAAACACTCTAAAAGCAATACAATACCTTGGGAGTCTAATTCATGAAAAACATTTGTGTTGATACCTTTGAGACATCTGATAGCTGAAAAATACCCAGGGTAGGATTAGTCTACAAGGGACAGATGAAGAAATCAAATACTCTAATACCAATTCTACTCTCCAATAGATCTATTTTCTTAAACTGCAAAATATCTGACTACACATTCCTTATATCAGAAGAGTAAACCACAAAAACCTTGCTTTATTAGGGACACTTTACAATTTATGTTAAAGTAGATACAGTCATTTAGAGAAATGAGTCCTCTTGAAACTTCACATAAAAGTCACTCCCTAGTTATGAAATGGGTATATTCAAAGCTCTTGATAATAAAAAGTATTGGTGTAGACTAATACTAACAAGAGTCCCCCACCCAAGACTGATCTCTAATGAGTAAACACTGCTGTTAGAGGCTTTTCAACATGTGAAGATGACACTGATAAGCAATAGTGACTACATATGAGTATGCTAAAATTTAGCTGGTTAACACTCAATGTACTTTTGTTTTTGCACATCAATCCTAAAATTTATGGACAAACATTCACATGTATCAGTTTCTCTTTTTACTTTCGTTCCTAAAAATTATTTAAGAGTACCTACTTTGATTGTGGACATTAATTTAAAAAATTATGTTTTTGTATATGCACAAACATGGGGATTTTTTTTTAATGTTTTTATTTTTGAAGGAGAGAGACAGAGCATGAGCGGGGGAGGAGCAGACAGAGAGGGAGACACAGAATTCGAAGCAGGCTCCAGGCTCTAAGCTGTCAGCACAGAGCCCGATGTGGGGCTCAAACCCACAAACTGAGATCATGACCTGAGCTGAAGCTGGACACTCAACCGATTGAGCCACCCAGGCACCCCATACGTGGGGATTTCTTAAGACTTGGATTCCACTAAGATATGTGTATCTGTTAATAGTTTTTTCTAACTATACACATTGAATCCAGCCTTTATGTAGTAACAAATTAGGAATGAGCAGTTTTGAAAGGTAAGATTCCAATTAGTAATACAGGTGTTTAGTTACTTAATTAGAAAGTGGCTTAGGCACTGAGAACAACTGGTTTATTTTATTATCTCCTTTAAAAATAAAAGATTTTGATCTTCTAAATTTTATGGACAGGATTTTGGTTACCTAATGAAATATACAATTGAGATAGCTAAATCAATACAACATAAAATGACTAGCTTTTGTATCTGTTCTCCTACAGTACTTTGCTTACATCTTTCATCTTAGCACCTATTTCATTTAGCCTTGTATGATAGAGTCACATGACTGTCATCCCATGTCTACTGTAAGTTTTTCCAGTATAGAGCCAGTGCCTTAAAAATCTTCATTTCTTCATATATTCCTTAGTGAATAAAGAGTCTGTTTAGTACTTGGGACTCAGTGGTGAGCAAAAGACATGATCACCATCTTCACAGGACTTAGGTAGCAAAATTTTAGATAGTGAAATATTCACAAATACAGTTACAAAGAGTAATATATGGTATAAAGGAGGAAAAGTACAACCATAACCTACCACAGAAGGTTGCCAATTCTTGTTAAGCAGATGAATAAAGAGAAGCAAATGTTGAAAATAAGAATCTACTACTATATCCCTCAAGAACAGGAGGACTCATTGCTTCATTTTACCTTAATATCTGTGTAAGCTGGGAAATTGTAGTCCAACCACCCTGGATTCGAGAACAATCTTGACTGAGGACCAAAAGGCAATACTGAATGAGGTCATAACAATATATATCTTGTTTTATTTTCTTCAACTCTGAGCTTCCTAAAGGTGTGTTGTTTATTATTTCTAAGGCAAAAGGAAAGAAGATATACTTATTTCTGCTCAATAAATCCAAGACTTTTGTATTTTTATAGTTTGAATAATAACTAAAATTACTTTAAAAAGGAAACATAGCACTTTCTTATCACAATGTTAAGATTTTTCTGAACAAATCAGAAACAAATGCTAAAACTATACCCGTGATGGAATTGTTTTGTTCCTTAAATAGTGTTAGCCAATCACAAAAAGATTTTCTTACCTTTTAACTTCAACAGTATAATAGGGACGTTCTGCTCAGGACTGTTTGCAACTTCGGCAGCTAGAGATAAGATCCTTGGGTCTGTACCTGTTGGTTTCATTTCTTATCGCCTATATTTTAACAGAATCAGAAAGATAAAGGTCAAACAGCCCTAAAACATTTGCTCCCTAAATAATGTTTGAAAAATAGTTTCAATATAAAATTTGTTTTGTTTGCTTTGAGAAGTGAAGGATAGATTTTTCGATTTCTTCCTTACAGGAGATTCTAATGTTTCTAATTGGAATACCTATAAAGAGCTAGAGACTCCTATAACTTACTATGACAGCTACAGCAGGTATTATTTGTCATGCACTAGGAGTCAGGAACAGTGCTAGATACTCCACATTCACTCTCTCTAATCTGCACAATAATCCTGGGATAGAAATTAATTTCTTTGATCATAAAAGAGACACTGAATGTGCAGAAAAGAGCTAACATAGCTTGAGACAAAGTTGGCCCTTGGCTGGTGCCAAGACTGGCCCTTGGCTGGTGAACTTGGATTTCAGAAGGGTTTCCACCATTCCGTAACAAGAGTGGTTCACTGTACCTAAAGTGTTTGTGAAAACAATGTGATTTATGCAGAATGCCTGCTCTCATTCCAAAAGCTTGGAATTCTGGTACTTGGTAGTAGACGATGCCTATATGACCACCTCCAATAAAGACCCTTATCACTGAGTATCTAGTGAGCTTCCCTGGTAGACAACACTTCAAAATGTGACAGTTCATTATAGGAAGAATTAAGTGTGTCCTATACGAACCTACTGGGAGAAGACTTTTGGAAATTTGCACCTGTTTTCCTCTGGATTTTGCCCCATTTGCCTTTTCTCTTTGCTGATTTTGCTTTGTATCCCTTCACTGTAAATCACAGCCACAAATACGACTATATCCTAAGAGGTGTCAGCCCTCCCAGTGAATCACTGAACCTTGGGTTGGTCTTGGGGATCCTCAACACACAACTCAGAAATGGGACGTAATTATAAGATAACAAAAGCTTATTAATAAATAGCATAGTAAATCAAATTATCTTTGTTATTATTATTATTATCCTCATATTAGTGTAGTCTTGGCTTCAGGAGTAGAATCCTGTGATTCATAGTTACATACAACACTCAGTGCTCATCCCAACAAGTGCCCTCCTTAATGTCCATCACCCATTTTGCCCACCCACCCATCAACCCTCAGTTTGTTCTCTTAGGGTTTGCCTCCCTGTCTCTTCTCTTCTTGTTCCTTCCCTTCCCCTAAGGTCTTGTTAAGTTTCTCAAATTCCACACATGAGTAAAATCATGTGTTATCTTTCTCTGACTTATTTTGCTTTGCATAATACCCTCCAGTGCCAACCAAGTTGTTACAAATGGCAAGATTTCATTCTTTTTCATCACCATAAAATCAATTACCTTAAAATTAAATATAAGACACATCCCAATTCAATTTGCTGTTTACCACACTCAAAGCTCAACGGTATCATTTAACAAAAAGTACAATCTTCACTTACAATAAAAGCCAACATATATTATTTTACTATGAACTAAGCACTGTACTAAGTGCTTTTGCACACATTATCTTACTTCTCACAAGACTATGAGGTAGAGGCTGTAATCATCTCATTTTACAGATATGAAAAATAAACTTTGAAGGAACCTATCATGGTTCCACCAGCATCTGGTGGAGTCCGTATTCAAATCCAGATCAGTCTGACTCCAAAGTCTGTGGTTTTAGATACAATGTTCATTATATTCCCTTCCATGTAAAATAATAAAAAACACAGATGACATACTTTTAACTCACTTATTTTTAGGTATTATTCTTCAAAATTGGCACCAAAACTGCCCTTTATATTGAGGAGTTGGCCATAAAATAAGCATCGAAATGTCATCCGTTTTAGGTAAAATATAAATCATTAAAATATAAACTTTCTGAAAATATTTCAAAGAAAGTCCAGCAAAACTCCTGGTGTCACTCCTGTCACACAGTAGGCATACTACTTCCCAAGAGAGTGGATACAGTTATCTCACTCTTTCCAATGGTTGCATTATGCTATCTTCCTTTGTAAGAGTGCATCAAAATATATTTAAACCATTCCCTCTATTGGAGGTCATTCAGAGTATGCTATTACCAGCAATGCTGCAATGACTATGAATGTACACATCTTTACGCACTCATGCTAGTATCTTGCAGGATGAATTTCCCTTGAAGTCAGATGGCTGGGTGGCAGGATATAAATTTTTTAAATTTTGATTAGATGGTACCAAATTTTTCTTTGAAATATGTGTTTCAAATTATACTTCCTCTAACAACATATGACGGTGTTCTTTTTACTATGCCCTCACTGATACATACTGCTATCTTATACATTTCTACCAATCTACTAGATGGAAAATGATATCATCTTTAATTTGTATTGCTTTGATTATTAGACAAGTTAGGCACATTTCATGTTCACTGGTTGTTTCTTCTTTCATATATTTTCTATTCATATCCTTCAACAATTTTCCTACTGGATTATTCTTTTGTAGAAGCTTTCAGCTTTTCATATATGGATATGAACCTTTATCTTTTATACTAGGTGTAAACAATTTATGTCATTTATTTTTTTTTAAGTTTCATTATGGTGGTTTCACCACAGTTTCACAATTTTCACGCAGTCGAATATAACAATCTTTTCCTCTATGACTTCTACTTTGGTATCATTCTTAGAAGGGTCCTCCTTAACCCTAAGAGTTGAAATACAGTCTCTTAGACTCTTAAATATGGAGAATAGAGGGTTACTGGAGGGGTTGTGGGAGGGGGGACAGGCTAAATGGGTAAGGGGCATTAAGGAATCTACTCCTGAAATCACTGTTGCACTATATGCTAACTTGGATGTAAATTAAAAAAAATAAATTAAATAAAAATTTAAAAATAAATAAATAAATAAAATATAGTCTCAACTTTTTTCTGGTGCGTTTATGGGTTTGTTTTAGTTAGATCTTCATTTACTTATATCTTTATATATTCAATACACATTTAAGTTATTTGTGAATGGTGTAAGACAGAAATATAACAATATTTTTTAAGTTAGATGAGGATATAGATTTGTGGAAAAGAACAAATGCATACAGCTGTTATAAATTCCTGAGGTAATATGTCATCAGTAGACCTAAACAAAGCAATGTGAAATGTCACTTGGGGTATTTTCCAACTCTATTTAGTTCATTAACCTGTTTGGTTAGTTTTTTTTGGTTTTTTCTTTATTCCTGGACTCGTACAACCTGGTTCATTTTAATACGTTTGGTGAAAATTCACACTAGAAGGTAAGTTTCATGACAGCAAAGCTCATACCATCCTTGGTGGCTGCCTTCTTATCTCTCTGGTTCACTGCCATATTCCCAGAGACTAGACTAGTGCCTTTGCCCATACCTGGTAAGTACTTAATAAACATATGTTGAAAGAATGAATGAATGCACAAACTTTGGGCACTCCAAAAGTCAATTTCTTGACTCTGCTTTTCTCTTTATTAGGATTATGGAAACCTCAGATTTCTAATTGGAATCTTTTTCATGTAAAATAGGCTTAAAGCACTGTTGTTGCACTCTGGCTAACATAATAAAAGATCACTGAAACATTATCATCACCAAACGTGTGTAGAGCACTATGTTAGATACATAGATCACAAAGATTTTATACAGGACAGAGTCCCTGTTCATGTGTCGGTTGGGAAAGAAAAGTACACACACACATATACGTATATGTAAAATAATTATATAAAATATTTTAAGTGCCAGATAGATGACACAGATGATAAGAAAACAGACCAGAGAGTCAGAGGACTGGGCTTCTCTGAACCAGTTTTCTTACCAGTAAACAAAATTCCTACTTTCTAGAATAATTCAAGATTTAGAAAAGAAAGCAGAAACCAAGGATGGTTCCAAAATGTTGCCAGATAATAGAGTTATACTTCAATAACGAAAACCATTTGGAGACCTTTATGTGCTGTGAATTGTTTTAAATCCATTCATGTATTAATTCATTTAACCCTCTTAACAACTCTAAGGAATAAGCACTATCATTCCCCCCACCCCTAATTTTAACGATGAGTATACTTTAGTTTGCATGAAGTCACACTGTAAAGTATGAAGCTAGGGTTCAAACCCAAAAATTCTGGCTCCAGAACCTGAAGCACTTAATTACCACACCAAACAGTCTGAATACACTTTATAAAAGAATTTACACAAGCAGATAGGTTTAGGGAAACACATTCACCTACTTGCCTAGAACAATAAATTGACAAATTTGGCTACGGTTTAGGTTAAGCAACGGGGTAGAGTTTGATTACATACTTACCCTGAAAAACAACTACCCGTTATGGCAACCATCTGTAAACTTTCTCTTGGGTGCTTCTCTTCTAATATAACACTTCCCTCATCTTTACCATTAAACTCATGAACTTTTGACAGGAAAAAAAAAAAAAAAACAAGTATTTTTCAATTATTAATGCTATTACCCTGTTGCACAGCACGAACTCTGACCTTGATCTTTTGGGAATTTCGTCTTCCTGGTCGTGCCGTTTACTGCCTCCAAAGATCACTGTGAAGGAAGTAAATAAAAGAAGGCTACCGAATGCAATCTCGTTGCAACTGATCCTAAACACCGTGATTTCTAACTTGTAATCTTTCCCCCCCCCCCCCCCCCCCCCCCCATCCTCTTCATCCCGTCTCGATCCTAATACTCCCGAGAACTTCCTCTGGAACAGAAATCAGGAGTTGATTGGCGAGGTAACGGCGTCGCCTCCAGTCAAGTTCAAGGTCTGAGGTCGCGGGCTCCTTCACCCCGGATTCTAGACCCAGCTTCCGCGCTACCAGGCCTTGGGGCAAAACACCAGGCCTTGTGCCCCGCTTCCGCCCCTCCCCGGGCCTCAGTTTCCACTAGACATCTCCACAGAAAAGGCACAGATACTCCCGTTAGGAACTCCTAAGCCCCGGGATACTTGGCCCAGAACCCCACCAGGCCTCCCAGCACCCGGGACTCTCACTCTCCCCAGTCGCCACCTCAGGCGGGTTACCTCACCCTGTCTTCGCGTTCTTC